TAATAACTTTTTGCATATGGTTTCAAAATCCATTTTAAACTTCACAAATACGCATGAGATATAAAAGGTGGCCATACATACATGCAAATTAGGTCGAACTTGTCACATTGACAAGTCAACATAAAATGTTGATTTTTTAAACTTAGGTCCCAATGCAACTTTCAAGAACAAATATTTTGACCTAAATGAACCTAATACCAATAATCACATAAAATTTCAGATTTTCCCTCCAATTCCCAACAAAGTACTAACTGACCAAAATACTCCTAATATGCATAACTTCTCAAAACCCTAATTTAACACCAAAAATGCACATTTTAGGGTTTCTTACTATAAAATGTGGTCCTAATTGCCTAAGAAAAGTGTATAATAAATATGATCTATCAACAGTCCATGAGCAATAACATAGACATAGTATCTCAACAGCAATCAAAATCCATTAACAAAGTCAAGGAAAAATAAAAGACAATCAAACCACCATTAGAAAACACAAATCTAGAGTCCAAGTTTTTTTATAAAATAAACTTAGCTAGTGATATCACTTCCCTTAGTGCCAACGAAGGAAGCCCTAAGGTTGGACCTTTCTTACTTCTATTAGCTCCGATGATGTTTCTAAGTCTCGGTCCTTCATTTGCAATGTCACTACCTGACAACCTAGAGAAAGAAATTGGTGCAGATTTCAAGATTGAAAGAGGGAGATCCTGAAGTGTGATAAGTGTAGATGAGAGTGAACAATGGATGGGGTGATGAGCAATATCATGAGGCCACAAATGAGAGTGGGCGAAGCAAGATCCATTGGGTGACAAGTATAGAAATCGCCTTCTAATTCCTGGAAGGGATGCTCAATATTGGGAGTGAAGAGGGAAGGAGGAAGGTGGAGATGATGAGAGACATAAGGGAGAGAGAGGAGGTTGAGATGAATTTGAAGAGGGAGGGAAGGGGAGATGACACAAAGGGAGAGAGATGGGAGAGGGGGTTAATGATGAGGCAGAGAGAGAAAGGGTGAGGTGATGAGATGAAGACATGTGGCTACCAACTCATCAAATTTTTGGGTCCCACTTGTGCCACTTAATGTCCATTAACCTCTATTTAATGATAGGATAATAGAATTTTAAAAAAAAAATTTAAGGGCAAGAATGAACTAAAGAAGAGCTTAGGATATCAAGTGTCCCTAAAGGCATAGTTCAAAGGTAAAAATGCACTTTAACCCGTGTTGTTATGGAAATTATTCTTCTCAAGTTTATCATTCTAACATAGATATTATGTATATCTAGCTATATGTTTGATTTCATTTCTAGATTTGCTCTGTTTGCTTTGATCTAGTCTAAATAAAAGGCCTTAATGATGTGGCTGAATGGAGTCTAGATGAGTTGGTGATCTCCATATGTGACTTACAATATTAACGTTGATGTTGTTTTGTGATCAAATCATACATCAAAACATGTGGTATGCCTACTACAACATATAGATAGTAGAATAGAAACTAAAAGAGATAGGGAAAACTCTCACTTTAGGAAAATACTGAAATTATTATAATTGTATGTGTTACATACAAAAAAGCTTTTTATTTATACTATTTTGAATCGGCAACTAAGGGCCAACACATTAACACTTCAGTAGGTTTATGAGAGTTACAGGAAGTGTTTAGAAGTTTCTTTATTGGCAGATGGTATTATTGTGGAGTTATAGATGTCAATTCATGGAGAATTATATATAATGTACAAAACCATCATTAATAGTGAAAATTGTGGGGATATAATTTGACTAATAGGGCTTTTAGTATATGCTCAAAAATTGTTGGTTCATAGAAATGTAGATTCACTGACATTTTTATATATTAAGTTTTATTGATCTAAATCTAGTTCATAGTTTAAAAGACACTAAATTCAACATGGTTATATTCAATATGATAATATTTATTTTGACACACATGAGAGATTGTTGTAGTTTATACGTGAGTGTGTCAAAATAAAGTTCCACATTTCCCTTGAGAGGAGCTCCAAGTATATAAATAATGAGTGATTTTGGGCTAGTAAATGGGCTTGGAGGAGAGAAGTGTGCTCATGTGTGCACAACAGCTATAAAGCAAGGCAATCACAATTGAAAATATATAGCCTATTCCCCCTGCACATGTAGGAAGTGTAGTGGGCACTTTTGCAAAAACTATTTTGGGTTTAATTACAAAACAATTTTGTTTTTAAATATAACCTTCCAGAAGATCTGTCATTTTCAGTTTACCTATTTTAGTTTCAGGCTTGTGGAAAATGTTGAGATATTTAATTTAATTGGTTTTTGATCTACTATTTGAACTTCATTAAGTTTTATTTGAATATAATTTGTTAATCACGTTTTATTACAGAATGTCAAGGAATGTGTCCTGCATTAGAACCACCATCATTCCAACATTTGAAAACTGGAATTCCATAAAGCGTCTTTAATCTGGAAAAACCAATGCTTAATTTGCAATATATTAAAGTATTTTAATCGTGCTCAACTTTACGTTTTGTCCGAATTGTGGCCTAAGTAAGGCTTGCATGCAAGATGATCAAATTGCACCAACCTTGGAGTTCTTAGGCTATCTCTTCTCCTTTGTTATATTTTATTGTTGCTTCATCTATGATATTTGAGTTTTGTTCTGTAAATTTCTACTCTTCTTTACCTTGTTATTGTGCAAGAAAAGTCTGTTTAATCTTTGAGAGTTGCCGAGTTTTTACTAATATGTTGGATTAACTCTTAAGATAATGTTCTCAAGCACCTTAACTATACATCAAACTCACTACTACCAACAACTAGGCAACTTGGAATTAGCACTACAGCAAAAGCTAGTTACTGTTCACTAAGACGGTCAACAATGACATGTTTGGAGCCAAGTGAGACGGAAGGCTTGGCTGGAATTGTTCTGCTGGTGATATTGATATTACATAACTGCTAATTTCCATATAATGTTGAAACTTTCTTAAACAAAATAGGACCATTATTAGGGAAGTATACTGAGAACTCAGATTTAAATCTTTAAATATGACAAAAATGAGAAGTGTTCACTAGATTCCTGATGATGTGATAAAATATGCTCTTGCTTTTTTTTTTTTCAAGACATATTCGTACTTTGAATAAAAAAATCACACTAATATTATAGATAATAAAATAAAAATACTTGAATAATAATAATAATAATAATATTAGATTCTTTCATAGCTTCTTTTCAAAAATGGCCTCATGTTACTTCTTTTTTGTTAATAATATGATTTCAAAATCATGTCGGGCTATTAATAAGGCTGGGTCTATTAAAAAAAATTAAATCCTTAATATATGACAAATCAATGTTGATATCTTTACTAGAAGAGAGATATATTCATGTTTTTTTTTTGGACCAATAAGATATATTCATGTTTAATGTCATCGCATCCATTGAACAGGAGAATACATCTTTTGAACTTGAAAGCATTTAGGCTTTGATGAGCCCATTAAATCCAATTCATTAAAAACTTTTTACTTATTAAAAAAATGTTAAGAGAATAAATTCGCCAAAACATTTTTTAATCAAGAAAGAGGATAAGTATTAAATTTGTCATTACCTAATTAAAACTTTATATCAAGCACTATGATGACAGATTCCCACGTTATAAGTCAAGCAACTCTTTTTAATTGGTTACTAATATGCATGCTTGTGTGTGTGTATTCCATAATATACATTTTATAATGACTATGATGATAAGGTGGGCAATTTCATTTGATTCTTTCATATTTTTAGCATTGATTTGATATGTTTTTGTGTTTGATTTATTCAATATACTGTATAAAAATAAATCATTTTTCTTACGTCGTGAGTTAGGCTCAAAGATTATAAAAATAACATATTTTGACAAAATAGGTTTTTAGAAGTGATATTGCAACTTTTTATGAATTGAGTCCTCCATACAGATTATGAGAACCTAACATGGATTAGACAGATTTGTTAACTCTTTTAAGTTTTAATTATATTTATAAATTGAATTTGATATTAGTATATGCTTGTGATTAACATCTGAAGCATATATTGGCCTCATATAAACTTCAGCTTCTAGCCTTTCAAGCTGTTCAGGAGGATTTCTTCTTTTCAATGTTTAGTTTTCTGTTTAATTTTATAATGTTTATTTTGTGACTTAAATAGTTCCTTATATATAATTTATGTTTTGATTTATGTGTGTCTATATATATTGCTTCTTTTTAAAAAAAGCTTAAGATTGCTAATTACAGTTGATGATTAACCAGAGGATAATGACAATTAATTAGATGTCAGAACATATATTAATAAACTGATAAACTAAGGATATATTAGTAACAACCAGTAACCACTATTTTAATTGAAAAGATCAAAATTAGATCTAGATAGGTATTTAACCTTAAATCTGATAAATCCCAACTTCTTAGCATTGTCCATTTGTCCTTTTTTGATTTAATCAATCTTTTGTTTTTGTTTTTGGTGAAAACTAGGAGTATTTTCTGCTAAGAGAAAAGTCATCCCAGAAATGGAGGGTAAAAAAGTGGCTCCTTTCAACTATTTTTGCGCCATGTATGCACAAGTTTTAGTTAATTTACTTTGTCAATCTTCTTGATTGCATGTTTAATTTGAAATTAATCTGTGAATATGAAAAACAATTATATATCTAGTTCTTTTTTATATATATTAGAAAGGGTTGAGAGAAAAATTAATTTTGATCTTATTTATAGAGTACTTCACTATCTTTCTACCTTTATTAAATGCCAGAAAAATTTATTAAAAATTAGTATTTTTGCCTTTACTAATGATAAAGGTAGAAATTAAACTTGTTAAATTTTAAAATAGAATTAGTGAAATTTAAGGTTTTTTTTTAGTAAAATATGTTAAAAATAACTTATAAATGTGACAATATATTGTTTTATTCAGTTCTGCATATGACATGACAACTATTGCAACAACGGACTCTTTTATGCAGGTTTGTATGAACAATATGACATCTAATGATCAACACAGAAAAAAGGGAAAAAAATTGTGCATCTGAGACATTACAAAAAGCATTACAGACTATAACTGGTATTAGAGGCCTAATCCATGAAGAAATTACTATATCATTTGTTATGATCGAGCTCGCTGTAAAATAATTTCATTGCCGGACCATTTCAATGATGGAGAGAGCTATGGCGGACAACTGAAAAGTATCATTGTTTCTCTTCGTTAATGGTGAAACCACTCCTCTCTTTTCCTCGAACCCATCTTCACAGGTGGAAGACGCATCAAGAACAGAACTTACCTTGACGTTCGAATCTACATAACGCTTTCTCTTGTAATCTCCAATGGCTTCTTCAAGAGTCGTGATGGCATCTGAATACAGTTCCAAGCAATCCTTCAAGTATTCTCTGATATACCGATCTTTCGACCCCTTCGTGTTCTTCTTCTTCTTTGTCTTCTTCAAGAGGTGTTCAATGTAAACCCTAGATTCTGAGACGTTGGTTCTGATTAGATTCATGGAGATGAGGCCAAGATTAGTGAGGCTTGTGACGCTGTGGCTTCTGGGATCTGATTCTAAAGAAGAAATGCAGAAGTTGAGGCTTATGTTTGGATCAGACTCCGAACTTTTCTTGCAGGTTTCTTGAATGAGATGGTTGAACGATGTCGTGGCATTGAAGGAGAGGAAGAAGATAATGAAAAGGATCAGTAAAGAAAAGGAGGAGCGAATCGAACTCATCGTTGATGCCATTGAATTCTCCGCCAGGTATGGTGTATGTGCTCGTGAGTGCAGGTTTAGGAAGATATACAAGAATAAATAATATATATACATAGGGTGAAATCATATTTTCTTCCAATCAATATTATAAAATATTTTTAATTAAATTATACTCCAATAACTTAGTTAATTATCTTTAAAATTATACATGTTTTTTATGTTTACATTTATTTAATAAAGTGTTTCAATTAAAAAATTTTATTAGTTACCCTTCTAATTTAGGATATTAAAAAAACATCATTAATTATCCTTTGAAATGCCCAAAATGTCTTATATTTTTTAATATCATATTGAAAAAAAGATCTCTTAAATTTTTGAATGGAGGGAGTTGATTTTAATTTGTCTATCTTTTAAACTAACAAGCATTCTAATACTGAACAAAAAATAACTTATACATGAATTTAGATATAAAAATAAAGAAGAATATAAAATGTTGGCTCTTAAATTTTTTAATTATTAATTTATTTCCTGAACTTTGAATTAAAATAATTATTGTTATCATTTTATAAGAATTGCATTGTTATATGTCGAATTTCAAATACTAAATTGACAATTAAAAAAATTAGGTGCTAAAAGTTATAATTTTTCTGATATTTTGTATTATGTAATTAAGAAACCTAGCTTAATGACTTTTTTTAACCAAGTAATCATATATTAGATATTTTATATTTATTTTATCCTTAATTAAAAAAATCGTTGCTACTGGGTCCTTTAAATTTTACCATTAAGTGTCAAGTATCAATTATTCTTTCACTATGTCATATTGGCTAAAGCCCTGAATATCGGCGAACCCATAAGAAATTGACTCAGGTTGACCATGAGTCCCTGTTGCTTGGGCTGGCCCATTTTTATATATTTCAAAAATATATATAATTATTAATCTCTACAATTTTATTATATTTTATTATTGAATTATGTATTTTTTTAAATTTTTTAGATTTTTATAATTTTTTCATCCCCAGCATTAGTTCCTTTATTTTTAAATACATTTAGAAAAATAATTATTAAAACCGATAATTTAGGTAAATAGATTAATTCAAGTTTGACCTAAATAAGCTCAATCTCAACAAGCTCAATCTTCTTAAATAGCATTAATGACAAGCCCATCTAGAGCCTCTTGGAGCTTCAGCCTAACCAAATGTCTAAATTATCAAATTTTTATTCTTAAATTAACATTAATTTAATTTTTTACTTAAAATTTATTATATTTATTCTATAAAAAATATAAAATATATTTTTTCAAATATTTAAACGATGTAAAAAACCTCAAATTTTTTTCAAAAAGTATATGGGTTGTAAAATCTAAAAATTAATATTAAAATATATTTTAATATTATTTTAAGATATTTTATAGACTAAAAATAATAAAAATATGACACTATAAATATTTTAAAATTTTTAAAAATATATCTATAAGAATATACTTAAATAGACGGTATCTTAGTATAAGATGACTAAAACTTAAATAATTTATTAATATCTAGTATATTTTATAGATTGCTTTAAAATGTTTTTTTTTTTTTTGTATTTAGGTTATTGTTGTCAAGCTCTTGAATTGACTTTTTGAGTTTATCGCTTTAATATTTATAGTTTATAAAATTATACTAACTCACTTATAAACTCATACTAAATGTAAATTAAATTAAACTTGCAAGTTCACTCTTTAAGTGTATTGTTTTTATATTTTTAACTTATAAAATTATGTTAACTCGCTCGTAATCTCAAATTATATATAAACCTAGTTAAACTTGCTAAAATCATTAATTTTTTATTTAGTTGAGCATGTTATGTATATATTGTGTAGAACTTGATTCATAAAAGCAATGACACTTAATTTAAAGAAAAATAAACTCAAAAAAGCAAAAGCTAATATTGATAAAATAGAAAACAAGAAATACAAAAAATAAATTGTCCTATTTTTAAAATTTTTATTTTGAGTACGATAATCTATTAAACATATTTAATTTGAATGATGTATGTTTGAAATATATTAGCCAAAAAAATATTTGAAATATATTTAAATTAAATTATGATTATATTTTATATTTTAATTATTTAATTTTATATTTTTAATGATTATTTATTAATATAGATAAACTGTTATCAGTTTACTTATACTTATAAATTTGATAATTTTAATTTAGATATTAAGACCAAGCCCAAACTTAATTAGATTTGATCTAAATTAATTGTTCTAACAAGGATACAGCATTAATGATATTCAATTAGAGCATTAAGTGTATAAAGTAAAAAGCTTGACCCACAGTGATTAAAAATCTCTTTCCATCATTGATAAGTATTGTCGTTAGAATAGCTGTCAACATAAAGCAATCATTCTTTTTTCACCTCATGTTATTTCAAATTGCCAATTTATTATGTTTTAAACATATTAGAATTCTCATCAACGTTATTAGTTAACGTTAGATAATTTAACACTAATATTAGTGTCACATCATTGTCCTTCCAGACATATTTAAAAGTAGAGGAGTTAAAATTGTAGATGCAAAAAAACTAGAACGATTTAAAACATTTAAAAAAATATATAAGAATCAATAGTTATATTTTTTTCAATATTTAAATTTATATATTATGCTTGTGTTTACTAATTTATTCTTTCAACATTTAAATATCTTTTTTTTAATAATATATATATATATATATATATTCTTGGTTGATCTTTTTTAGATGAAAATTAAAAATTGAATGGTAAAATATTTTCAGTATGAAACCTAGACAATCAGGACATGGATTGGATGATAACGCGTTTGATTGCTTTTATGACAAGGGAATAGATTTTTTTTTTTTTCTATTAAACAATTGTTTTATCTTATTTTAAAATATTTGTGTTATGTTTTATTTTTATTTGTAGTTTATATGTTAAATTTGAACTTTTATACTTTATATTACCTCTATTAAAAAATATAAAACATTTTTTACTTTTTAAGATATAATCATTATTTTTTAAAATAAAATATCCCTATTAAATAAATTACTTTATATTTATTTTAGAATAAAATACCCTATTAAATAAGGGTGAATATAAAAAAATAGGGTTAATTTAAAAAAAATTATTGCTTTTATTAGTAGTGAGATTTGATTAAAAATATCTTATATTTTATAATGAAAAAAGTAAAACATTTGAGAATTAATTTGAATTTTTGTTGGGGGGCAGCAATTTCAAACTTAATCTTACTTAGATCATAACAACTTGAATCTAGTTTAGGGGGGAAAAAAAATGTACAGGGAAAGGGGCTTTCAGACTTCAACTCTATTATTAGAACTACTTTATTTGATGACGCTCTTGTAAATTATAGAAACATTATGACTTTTGATATGACTTGATTTTAATCTTTTTTTGCATGGTATTTTTACTTGGCCTTACATTAAAAAAAAAAACTTACCTCATAAAGACTGCCTGACCCATTTTCCACATCTACAGTATTGGCTATATATATTATTTTTATTTTATTTTACAACAAATTTTGACAATTTTATAATTTTATAATTTTTTTTATTTTCCACATCTAAATTATTGGTTGTTTTTTTTCCAACACTTCACTTATAAACTATGGCAACTTCTAAAGTTTTAATTCAATCTATTATACTTCTTTTATCTTAGATTGTAAGATGATTTTAGACAAAATTTCATATGCTAATAAATTTTATTATATACATTTAACAACCTTATTTTTTTTTAAATATAAATATAAATTTTTAAAAGTATTCTTTATTTAATATATTGAAGAGAAGGATCAACATAAATTAAATAGAAAGAGCAAAGGTAATATTAAAATAAGTTTATTTAATTAAACTTAATATTCTCAAAATGTTTTATATTTTGAGACGCCTAACCTTTTCTAAAAATAGTTTATAAATTGGGATTGAGGGAGTATACTATATTATAAATAAATTCTTTTAATTTAATTCTTCAAAGATTAATAGTTACTCCCTCCGTTAAAAAATATAAGATATTTTTTGAGGAGTTAGATGTTAAAAAATATAAGATATTTTTATTCTTTTAAGGTGTAATCATTACCTTTTTTTTTTAAGTATTCCTATTGATAAATTACTTTATATTTATTGTAAGGTGTTTAATAAGGATAAATATAAAAAGATATAATTAGTTTGAAAGTAGGTGATTACTTTATTAAGAGTAAGATTCGATTAAAAATGTCTTACACTTTTAAACAAATGGAGTAGTTCATAAATGAATTTTCTTCAACAATAAATAATCCTTCCGTTCTGATTAAAAAAAAAATGCTCCTTCCGTTTTTCAAAAGTAAAAAAAAAAATGCATTATTTTATTTTTATTTATAAGTAAAATCATAAACTTCAAAAGGTTTTTGTCATATTTTTCTTAAACTAACTCTCATAAAGTAAATTTTTATTTTTATTAAATAAATTTATTTTATTAATTACAAAAATAATTTTTTCCAAATTTTTAAATTTAAATATAATTATTACTTAATTAACATTTTAAAATGGTGTGAATCGATTATTTTTTTACCATATTTTGAAAATGAGAGAACATAAACGAGGGAGCATGCAACTGAAAGTCTCATGACTTACAATATTTTCAATATTTATTTGGTTTTTTTTTTTTTTTTTTTGCCAAAATTTGGATGTGTTAAGCTGAAGTTGTCAAAACTCCAAGTGGTCAACATTAAAAACCCACAAAACCCAGAGAAGCCCCCTTCACTCTCTGCTGCCTCCATTTGAAAATGCAGCGAAGTTGATAAGGTCACACCGAACCAAAGAAGTACAGAAAAATGGCGAATCTAAGGACTGCAATGGACTCCGCCTTCTGGGATCTCAACGTTTCTTCTCCTCAAACCATAGAGGGGTGTGCCAAGGCCGTTCCCGGCGACCCCTTTCCTATGGACGCCACCGTTTCAAGCAAAGCTCTTCGTATTCAGCAGTTCTCATTCTTCAGAAATGGCTTTCCTTTGGGGATAGTTCCTTCCCTCTCTCCCACTTCTCCTTCCCTCTCTCCCACTTCTCCAAAGAGCTTTGGTTCCTTTTCTCTTCAGTCTCTCGCACTTAAAATCTCCAATCATCCCTGGTAATTAATTCGCGTACAGTTTTTGTTTTCCTTTTTGAAAATCCTCGTTTCTGCTTCTGCTTTGAAGCTATAGTGATCTTTCCTTTCATTTTTATATTATTTTCCGCCTCTAATGTCGATTCTCAAGAAATTTAGAAATTGTTCCCGAGTCTCCTTTGGTAGGAAGAAGACAATCTTTACGTTCAGCTTGTTATTAATGGACCTGGTATTCTTTTTCAATTCGCTGTTAGCATATGCTTGGTAGGAGTACCAATGCGAAGTATGCACAGCAATGTTGGTTTACTGTGTCCAATACAAATTCATATTTCATTCTAAATTTCTAATCCAGCACAGTATAATCTTAATGCTTTTTTTTTTTTTTTTTTTGGGCGGGGGGATGAGGAGCCTGTGTGCATAACTGTTTTTTTTTTTTTTTTGTCATACTTTGATTTTGAATTCTGAATAGTTGCTTGCCAAATCACTAAGTGAATCATAGCAACCTTTTATGCCGTATTGGCTTCTTCACTGTTTATTGTCGCATTATAAAACCCCCTTTCCCGTTCGGCCTTGTTAACTCAGTTAGCAAAACTAAGCAATTTCATATTCAAGTCTTATTTTGTGCACCTGACTCCCTTATTTTTCAATGCCATGTTGCCAGAACCATCCCTTCATGTTGCTTTAAATTTGGTTTCATTGAAGAAAATTGAGACTTGCTATTTGATACGCTAGTTCTGTTTCTTTTTAAACTATCTCTAAAATTGATCTCCTAGGTCAAGTTGATTTCTGAACTTAAGCTATCCTGTTAAACTGACTTCTCAATTTTTTTAGTCCTCTCTATATCACTTTTTTCCTTGTATTATTTTGTGGATTGTGGTGCAAATTGTGTTTTTTACTTGTAGTTCTCTACACTATGGAAAAATTTCCTTATTGATATTAGTTGAATATTCATGAATTCTCTTGGTTTATTTTAACTTTTGAAATGATTTATGCAAGGTGAGTACTTGCATTCTACTTTCATCTTTTTCAATTATCAGTCCATGAACTTGTCCATGGCTTGCTTACAATGAATTATTAAAAGTACCATAAAATATAATATTTGCATGTAAATGTGAAGCTTGGTAGACTTCCTGGACTTTAGATTTCTGAACTTATGCTATAAGCTTATTCTTCATCAAGGTAATGGGTGCTATGAAAGTCAATGATCGTAGCTGTAGGTGACCATGAAAAAAAAAAATGTCGAGAGTCACAATGAGACTGAAACTTGCAATGAGCAGTTTAATGATATGTTGGAACCAATGGTATATAGCATCATTATAATATCTCAAGTCTTTAATGTTCTGATACATGCTTTCGCATAACAATTGTTAATATAGGTGGTTTGGGCTGATTGGACAGTTCCGTCCTGGGAAACTGTTTGCGGATATCAAAAATGAAATCTCCAATGCTGATGAGTTCGAGCTCTCCACACTCAAGGATGCTGCAAAGCATTTTATTGACAAGTCACTCTTTTCATTAGGATTATTCTCACAGATTTCTATTTCTGACTCAACATCTATTCTACTCTCCATGGAGGGGCATGGTGAGAAAAAAAGACGTCGCAAGAAAATGATGATCTTCCACCAGGCATGAATTTCAATTTCTTGTCTTTTTTTTTTAATTTAATTTCTTGTTTTGATGGTTGAATATACAAGGTTTCACATATTTTATCAATAGCTGATTATCATTTTTTTCTTGTTGATTTATTGATGATTTTCCTTCCTTTATGTGATAGTATTATGGTAATTACAAAAATAAAAAATATTTAAGTAATAATCTAGTATAGTTTCTAAAAGGCAATATTTTAATTGTATGTTGTACTAGAGTTAGCTTAAAAAACTGTAATTACCCTGCTATTTTGTGGGAGTTTTTGTGAGCAGACTTTACAAGGCAGTGAAGAAGTTAATTCAGATTGAAACTTAAATAAATTTGTCTTGAAATGTAAAAGTGGTCCTTAAAAGCAACTTCAAATTTTCAGAGGGGTTTATGAAGGAGAATTTCTCTGTTCTAAGAGAAGCTAGGAATTAAATAATTGACTAAGAAGATTACATATCAGAAAACCTAACAGCCTGAGCCTTCCTTTCAAAATAGCATGAAATCAAATTAACCATTTTCAGGCAAAAGGGCAACAACAAAATGGAATCATACAACAAAAAGAAAAAATCCAAATTTATTTAAGTTTCAATCTGAATTAACTTCTTCACTGCCTTGTAAAGTCTGCTCACAAAACAAATAGGACATATTTTGCTAAACATTAGCATCAATAGCACGGCTATCAAATTCTATACCACATTCTAAGAATATGCCCAACATTCAAGAAAGTATTCAAAAGGCCTTCCCTAGATAGTGGTTGAGCTTGAAAACAAATAGGACATATTTTGTTGATTTTCTTTCATCTGTTTTTCCCAGTATGTCCTATTTGTTTTCAAGCTCAACCACTATCTAGGGAAGGCCTTTTGAATACTTTCTTGAATATTGGGCATATTCTTACAATGTGGTATAGAATTTGGTAGCCGTGCTATTGATGCTAATGTTTAGCATATTTGGAATTTGGTTATGGTAGAACTTGAGTTTTTAAGTGTACATTTTGTCACTTGGATTAGTTATGATCCCTATCAGCTCTTTGCAATCATTACTTGCAATGATCATCCCTTGTTTTAAGGGATTCTCCTTCCCACATCTGTGGAGCATTTGGAAAGCATTATTGAATTGATAAGTTTGTCTTGTTATGTATAAATTCTGAGACCTCGTTGAGGATATTTTTGTATGTTTTTGGTCATTTCTTCGCTTGCAGGCTATGTTTGGTTGGAGGGGAGGGGAGGGGAGGTAAGGGGAGAGGAGGGGAGGGAGGGGGAGAAGGAGGAGGAAGGGAAGGGAGGGGGGGATCTCCCCAATTTGGGAACCTTTACAAACAAGGGGTCCAACCAAACACTACTGTAATGAAATTGTCTTCTAGGGAAAATTTACGAGCAAATTTGCAGTAATTGATATAAAATTTCCCTTTATATTAGTATAGATTGTTCATTTACAATTATATGAATTATTTCATGTTTACTACAAAATGTTGTTATAGAATTGCATGGCTTATCCTACTTTTCCCTTTGTTCGTTGCTTTGTTCATCCTATTATGGTGCTTGAGCATATTCTGAAACACCCAACTTATATGGTATACAGCTTCCTGATCATGATATCACATTGGAGGCTGCTTGGCCTCAACTGTTCATTGACCACAAAGGAAAATACTGGGATGTGCCTGTGTCCTTATCTCTTGATCTGTCATCCCTAAAGTCTGATTCTGGACTCCGGTACCGTGTTGGGATACATAAAAATGGTGGTGATCCTGAGGCAGTAAATGCCATAGATGGCAACTCCCCACTTTCATTGCTGCCGGGGTTGTGTGCTAAGGCTGCCTTGTCTTATGAGAAGATCAAGTACCTCTGGAGAGACAATGAGGCTGCAGAAAGTCTCAAGCAAGCAACAGATAAGGAAGCTACTTCTTATCCATATGACGTGCGTCTTATGGAACCCCAATCAGCATTATCTGGAATTATTGGTAATTTCTTTGAGACAAGAAACAGAATGTTCACATAGCTCTATATACTGCTTTTTTTTTTTTTTTTTTGGTTATTGGTATGCTTTATTTTGTTATTTGTAATTTAAAATGCTCTTTAAATGTGATTATACTATTTGTTTTTCCTCCTTCCTTTTTCAATATTTCTATATTGAGTTTAAAATTGAGGTTTAGACTGAATTACTTTGACCATATTAATCTCCAGAATGTTTCTTCGGAATAACTTTTGCACTTTGTAACGTTGCTGTGAAAAGTCAGATCAGACATGCTGGTTCTAGTTATAACTCTTTTCCCAAAGCATGTCTATGGCAGACACAATATTTAAAAAAACAAGAAATCAGTCTGAATAATTGCTTATTTACATGTAACACTAGTGGACAGTTTACAAGTATATGGTGCTCCATAAGAATGTTGATTTTGGATGGAAGAAGGAGCTGGCTGCACGTTGGCAATGTGTTTTTGCTGGGTTTTGATATCTCTGGTTTGAATGAAATGGTAGTTTCAATGAGATTTCATCTGTCCCATCTTGTGTAAGAAATATTCCCTCCGTCTTGATTTATAAGACACTTTTGAAAATATTAGACGTCTCAAAATATAATATACTTTGACAAGAATAAAATTTCATTAATGATATTTTTATAATATTATCCTTTCCATTATATTCTCTCTTTAATATTCCATCACAACTGGAGTATTAATTGGAGGGCATTTTTGGAAGTCTGTATTACTGTCCTGAAAAAAATATGATTCTAAGGTGTGTTTAATGAACTTTATTATTATGTGTAATCTTGTCTAAAAGTGTTTTGTAAATTGGGATGAAGGGAGTAGTTTTTTGTGATGTCATCCCCTGTGGATTCCATAATTCTTCCAAGATGTTTTACCCTCCCCCCCCCCCATTTGGTATACTTATTCACAAGTTCTTGGCCATTATGATATGCCTATTTTTGGCCCAAGAATAAAGATATGCCTATTTTTGTTGTGTTAATGGTTTGCAATACATTGTAGGTGGTGCCTGCACTGCCTGGATTTGGGATGGGAGTAGCTGTTCAAGCGTTGATTCAAGAGAAGATCTGGACAGTTCTAGACCAAGCAAGAGATCTCCATTGAATGCTGATTTATTTGGTTCAGTTTGCTATACTTTCCAGCACGGAAAATTTATAAATGATTATGGGGACTTGACAAGGTTAGATGCTCGCCTTGATATTTGTTCAGCTCCAGGCTTTGTCAAGAAGGTTCTGAATGGTTTCAGAAGTTCTGCTGATGTTAATGAACTTCCATCAGCCTCACCTCGGCTAAATTTAACCTTTCAACAGCAGGTATCTCCTTTGCTTAATTTAACCTAATCAGTAATTGCATATCATTTGACTCGAAAACCGTGATACTACATATATCCCGTGGAAGCATACATATCCATTTGTAGATCCAGTAAAAGAAAACTGAGCCACTCATATTTCTTGTAAAGGAGACCAATTGTTTATGATGTTCTTCCTCTGTCTTAAAGTATATGACATTTTTAGGGAAGATTGAGCATCCCAAAACATAAGACATTTTAACAAAAATAAGGTTTTAATAATATTTTTCCAATATCACCTTTCTTATTTATTCTCTCTCTCTAATATTCTTTCATAAATGGAGTATTAAGTGAAGGGTATTTTTGAAAGCTTGTTTTTGTTTTGAAGAAATAAAGTTGTAAAGTTTAATGAGTTTTATTGGTATATATGATTTGTCTAAAAAGTATTTTCTAATTTGGAATGGAGTATATAGTAAGAAACTGAGCTGCAAATCCGTTGACATCATGGGCTTGGTTAATTTTTTGAATTTGAAGGGGGAAAATATTCAATATTCAAACATGAATGCTAGTTAACTAACTGATGGCAGAGGAGGGGTGACTGTAGAACTGATTGCGTGCTGCTGATAATGATAATTAGAGGATAACCAAATTGGATCTTCTACATTTCATGCATTTGAAGAGAGAATTGAATAAGAGATGACAACTAGCTGTATATTTCACACCCTATCTTTATTTTTATCTTCTTTTCATGATATATATATATATAGGGAAAATACAACAGTAGACCCTTGTGCTTTGATTGCATTTTGTTTTTTTTGTCTCTATAGTTTTATTTTGTTGTTCTCAATTCCTTTACCTTGATAGGTCTGTGATGTCAATCCTTATAATTTTAAAATAAAGACCATAAGCTGGCACTGATGGAGTTGATTTTACTGTAACTATTAACTCCTTTGTTGACATGGTAAAAATATATTGATATGAAAATAAATTGACCAAGTATGATTGAAAATAAAAGGCAAGAGACGAAAAAAATCATTATTTTATATTTAGCTTAAAATTGGGGAGTGGAAGGCAATATTAAGTACTAATCAGCAAAAAAGGTTAACAAAGTTAAGCACACATCGGTAAAAATAACTCCACCAGTGTTAGTTTAGTCTTTATATGCTGCATTTTTAAAACTATCAGAATCAGTGTTGCAGACGGATTAAATTAAAGGAACTTAGAAATATGAAATAAAACTATAGAAACTAAAAATAAAACACAATTAAAGTACATGAACCTACTGTTGTATTGGGGAGAGGAAAGCAATATTAAGTACTAATCAGCAAAAAAGGTTAACAAAGTTAAGCACACATGAGTAAAAATAACTCCACTAGTGTTAGTTTATAGTCATTATATGCATTTTTAAAATTACAAGAATCAATGTTGCAGACGAATTAAATTAAAGGAACTGAGACTATGAAATAAAACTAAAGAAACTAAAAATAAAACACAATCAAAGTACATGAACCTACTGTTGTATTTCTCATACACACACACAATGTTGCTTTTTGTGCATTCAGTTTTGAAAATATAAAATATCTAAATTGGTTGACAACTGTTTCTCTAGGGGGCACTCTACCCTTACAGATATTCCAAATCTGTCATGTGGATCCTAATATGTAATTGATTGAGTTTAGTTGTGCTTCAGAAAGCAAAACAAATACAGCACAGCTCATGTGTCAATTTCCTATTCCTACTTGTAGGTTGCGGGGCCGATCGTCTTCCGGACGGATTCCAGAATATCCCTTGAATCTTTCTCTAAGATGTTCCAAATAGAGGATTATGTTTGCAGCTTGAGCTACTCCTTCAGGCTGTTGCAGTCTGGTAAGGTGGTTGCTTGGTACTCTCCAAAAAGGAAAGAAGGAATGTTTGAGTTGCGTCTATTTGAGTTTTAACGCACTTGTTGTAGTCCTGACTGCCGGCTCTTTTCAGGTAAGAATTTTGCAGGCTTCAGTTGAAAGTAGCCCATTTGTTTATTATTTAGCTTATGCACAGTTGTAGTGTGCTTGGTTAAGCTGAAACTCAACATCATTGATTGGTCAAGCCATAAGCGCTAATCATCATTAACTTCTCAAATGTGTGTCCATCCTTTCCAACTGAGTCTACATTTAAATATCCTTATGTATAATTCATCGGGTTCTTAATATATGCACTTATTAAAAAATGTTAGTTACATTCTTAAAATTGTTAAAAAAAATGTAACACTTCAATTTTACTCTTTTTGGCAATTAATAACTATAATAAATTGTTATTTAGAAGTTCAAACTGTAATAAATAAATAAGGGTATAATTAAAAAATAAAATTAATTACCTTAATTTTATCTTATATTAAGGATAAAAAAAAAGCTTATATCCTCATATCAAGGATTGGAGTATCCAGCTTGAGTCCACATATTTGTATAGGATTTTTCTTTTTTGTTTTTGCCAACAATTGCGCAAAAGGACCTTGATCTTAAAACAAAAAATAAACTGTTATAAAAAAATTAAACTAGATTGAAAGATTTTAAAAGCAGTAATTATTGTTTAAAGACAAGACGAGCAAAACAAACTTTTAAATGTACTAAAAAAGAGTGAACTTTTAAATGTATCGAATCTCATTCTCTCTCTCTCTCTCTCTGTTTTTTTTTTTTTTAATTGATCTGTATCGAATCTCTTTTTAGTTTATTTATTAATGGTTGTTGGTTAGGGTTGTTCGAAAAATTGAACTGTATTGAATCAAATCGAAGCCATATGAATCAAACAACAAAACTAACTTTAATTTTGGGCTAACCAAACTGAATCTAACAAATCTCCTACGAAATTTTTGGGCCAAGACCAAACGTATCCATCATATATGAATAAATTGATGTCATAGTATATATGCAGAAAATACTTTTTGAAGAGTTTTTTTTTTTTTTTGCCAATTTAACTTGATAATGCTTGAATATGACTTATTAAAATAATCATATTAAAAAAAATTGACACGTCTAGTTCAAGGGTCAATTTGTTTAAGATTGGAAAAAGTTATTTTAGTTGAGTTAAATATGAGAAAGTTGAAGATATGGAAGGTAGGGTTAAGATCAGCAATGCGACAGGAGGAAACAAAGTTAGCAGAGGAAGTGAGGGCTGTGGTGACCAAACATATCGATCATTTGACTAAATTGACATGATGCATTTTCCTTTCCAACATCATATTGATTCAAGTCAACTTCAGATACATCACACAAGCCACAATCCCACAAAAAATTGATTCAACAAAGGAAAATAGAGAAGCACTTAAAGCTCCATGATAACAAGGAGAACATGAATCCACGGATCATTAGAGTCGATAATTTAAGTCAAATTCATCCAAAAAATTTAGGGTTAAGCTAGAAATTTTTTTTTTTTAATGCTTGGGCCTATTCGAGCCAGGCCGAATAAGCTTGAAAAATTCAGGCCAAGCTCGATCAAGTTCAAACTTGGCCTGAATACCTAAATAAAAAATAATATTTTTAAAATATATAAAAATATAATAAATATTAATTAATTATTTAAATTTTATGTCATTTTATACTATAATACCTATTTGAATACATTACTATAGTTAATTTTTTTAAAAATGAAAATGTTTATATTTTCATATTATTATTAATTTTAATCAATAAAATATCTCAAAATAATATTTAAAATATATTTTAATATTATTTTTATATATTAAGACCCATTTTTTAAAAAAATTTCAGTCCTATACATCATTTGAGTATCCAAAAAAATATATTATATATTTTTATAAAATAATATAATTGATTTTAAAGTAAAAATAAAATTAAAAAATAATTTTAAAAATAAAATTATGGCATGTGCGAATTTCTAACTCTACTATTAGATAAATATAACAAATAAAATAATATTTTTAAATAATTATTTGGTTATTATTTATGTCAGACTTGGTTAAAAATTAAGAATAAACTAAAATGGGGCATGTAAGGGTTAAAAATATAAAAAGTTAAAGAAAAAAATAATTCAAAAAAATAGTATTTTACTCATAATTACATATTTTTTATATAATATAATGATGGTTATTTTTTTATATTCTTAAAATAAAAAATACAGTTTATTCAAAATTTATTAAAAATTTTAAACTAATTAGGGCAATAATTTTAAGTTAGTGATCTAACTGTAATTGAATTGAGATCAACTAATTATAATTAAAATAATATAATATAATTAAAATATAAAAAATATTTATATATGATCACGATAATAGCAACATTTAAATAATTAAAATATTAATTTACAAGTAAATATTTATAAAAAAATTATACATAATATAACAAAATAGTAACAAAGCCACTTAAGTATTTGATAAATTATTATTTTTTATTTTATTTTTTAAAGTTAAAATAATATTTTATGCTTGACAAAATTATTTCAAAATTAAAATTAGTTTAAGAAATAAAGAAAAATATTTTTAAAAAATTTTGGGTATTTGGACCAGCCCAAATAAGCTCGAAACTTGAAAATGCTAGGGTCGAGCTTGACTATATGAGTTTTTTTTAAAAAAATATGATACTTTAAGCTTGATTTAAATAAGTCCAACCTGCTCGAATTAACGGTTCTATAGATCACAATTGGAAGACACTGAGCTTTGGATGGTGAGGAGTGGAGGACGATGAAAAATACAAACCCCAATAGAGAAGGCAAGCTTAACCCAGACAATGGCGATGGCTTCGAATGGAGGATGGAGGAGGAGGAAGAGAATGAGGAACGTTGAGGGATATTGGGCGCCCAAGGATTTGATGATGGCGATAGAGATGAGCTAAGGGGAAGAGCGATGAAATGAGGAAGAAGATGGGGGCCAAGGATTTAAAAACACATACATTAGACGATTATGATAGAAAACCGTCCACTATATGATATACATATTGGACAGTTCTTTAAATTAATTGTCCAATATGTATTTCATAATAAAAAATTAAAATAATTTATAATTTCAAAACACATATTGGATTCCTTAAATAATCGTTCAATATATATCTAGACATCTTGAACGGTTAATAACTGTCTAATATGTTACACCAACTGTTGTGAAAATAACCATCTAGAAAGAGTCTAGTAGTGTTTCGATAGGACCTCTTCTAAAACAAGATCTCCCAAAAAATTTACAACAAATTTTCTGCACAAAATAATAAAGAGCTTTGCTTCTACCAGCAGACATATATATGCAACCAAAATAGAGATCCTAATTATAGTTTATATAGAGTTTCTAAAACAAGATTACAAAACATAATTTACAAACTCAAGTAGTTTCCATCAAAAGAGGGCTGCTTGCAAGTTCCCCCACTTCTACTCAATGGTTAACACTTCAACTCATCAACTTTGATGGTAAACCCTTCAATGACCAATTTAGTATCTAAGATACAAAAAATAATTTTTTAATAAATAATGTCCTAATTTACAATTAAATGAAATAATGGGAAGAACTTGAATGAGTCAATTATAAACTTAATAAAATAATTAAATGATATAATATAAACACATACCTCATAGATTAACACTCATGTAATTGTATAAACTATGAACATGAATTTAAATAAAAATTATGAGGACTTCAAGTTCCACTTTTAAACTTCAATATATGTTTTAAACACTGGGGAATCATGGAGCTAAACATAAAATCCATATATGGTAAAAGAATACTATATGGTCTTTTCTTTACAAGATAGAGATTAAGCTTATGAGCCATACTATAAAATTGTAGGAAAGAGTGATTAAAAATAGGTTGTGGTTGGAAACTAATATATCTAAGAATCAATTTGGTTTCATATTAGGAAGAGCTACTATAGAAGTGATTTATCTATTAAAGGAATTAATGGAGAACTGCTGAAGCAAAGGTAGAAACTTATACATGGTTTTCACTAATTTGAAAAAAAGCTTATGATCATGCATTAAGAGAAGTACTTTGAAAAGTGCTAGAAAAGGAATGAGTTCAAGTTGCTCATATTAGAGCTATACAATATATGTATGACGAGGCAACAACTAGTATAGGAACATCTGCTATTGAGACAATGGACTTTTCTATAAGGATTGACTTACATCAAGGATCATCTTTGAGCCCTTACCTATTTAACCTGATTTTGGATGTTTTAACTAAGCATATTTAAGAGGAAATCCTCAATTGTATACTTTTTGTTGATGAAATAGTTCTTATTGCGAAGTAGATTAACTCTAAACTTAAGTTTTGGAGGAGGATATTGGAGTTGTAAGGTTTCCACTTGAGTAGAAGTAAGATGGAATATATACATTGTAATTTTAATAAGAAGTCAGTTAGTAGTAATTCAAAATTGAGATTGGGAGATCAAATTATACAATTGAAAAAATTTAGATATTTAGGAGCAATTTTTCAAAATGATGGGGAAATTAATGGAGATGTTACACATAAGATACAAGTTGAGTGGTTTAAATAATGAAAGTCTACAAGGATTATTTGTGATCAGAAAGTACCTAATAAATTTAAAGAAAATTTCATCGAACTGTTATAAGACTAGCCATATTATGTAGTAGTGAATATTAAACTTTGATAGATAGCAAGAGCATAATGTTGGAGTAGTAGGGATGAGAATGTTGAGATAGATGTACGGATGCACATGAAAAGATAAAATCTAATATGAGTATATTTGAAAAAAGTGAGTGTGGCATCTATTGAAAGAAAGCTAGTAGAAAATCATTTGAGATGGTTTGATCATGTATAAAGAAGGTCATGGGAGATACCGATGAGAAAAGTGAAATGGATAATCTTGAGCACTGTTAAGAGGGGTAGAAGAAGATTAAAAAGAATACTCATGGAAGTTGGACAGTATTCCTAAAAGATTAGTTAATGGTAGCACATAATGGTATCATTCAATTTATGTAGCTCACCCTACCCAATGGGATAAAACTTATATATTGTTTTTTTATTCTCCCTTGCTCTTAAACATATTAATCTTTTAGTTTTCATTCCAAAGACATTCATTTTCCTCCACATTTCTTTCTAGTCTTCAAAGTTATAATAATCTAGTATCACATACTTCAACTAAACACTATCATTACTCATTCCACATTGTAACTTGAAGCCATAA